CCACCCCGCCTCTCTGTCCCCAGGGCAGGGTCTGCGGGCTGTGCGGGAACTTTGACGACAACGCGGCCAACGACTTCACCACACGTGGCCGAGCTGTGGTGGGGGACGCGCTGGAGTTCGGGAACAGCTGGAAGTTCTCACCGTCCTGCCCGGATGCGCTGGCGCCCCAGGACCCCTGCACGGCCAACCCCTACCGCAAGTCCTGGGCGCAGAAACAGTGCAGCATCCTGCACGGCGCCACCTTCGCCGCCTGCCACGCCCACGTAGGCCAGCGGGCGGGGCGGGTGATTCTGTGGGCTCGAGGGGCCCTGCGGTGACCTGGGTGGAGGGTGGGGTGCCCCGGGGGTGCACTGTCAGCTTGGCGTGTGGGAGGCAGGCTGGGAGTCTGGCATGGACACCACAGAGGACTCCCGCTCCACTGTGTCTCCGGGCAGCAGGGGTCAGCCCCCGGGGGTGCCGTGTCCCGCATCAGGACCCACCTGTGGATGCGTGGATGGGCCCAGCCGACCCCTTGGGGTGGCACCTCCGTGCTCCCTGGCTCTGGGAGCCTGCCCCGTCCGCAGGCCTGCGTGGGCCTCACACCCCCCAACTCCGGGCGGGCGAGCCCAGAGCCTGAAGCCGCATCTCCCCAGGTGGAGCCCACCAAGTACTATGAGGCCTGCGTGAGTGACGCTTGTGCCTGTGACTCGGGGGGCGACTGCGAGTGCTTCTGCACGGCTGTGGCCGCCTACGCCCAGGCCTGCCATGAGGTGGGCCTGTGTGTGTCCTGGAGGACCCCGGACATCTGCCGTGAGTGCCGGTGCCCAGGGCGCCAGAGTGGCATGCCTGGGGCTGTCCTGGTGGGGGGGTTCCAAAGGAAAACAAAATCGAGGGGAGGGGCGTGCCCGGCTGCCGGGGCTGACTGCAGAGAACGTTCTGGATCGGAGGCGTCCACCACGCTCCCCAGCCCAGCCCCGAGGCAGCCTTGCCGGAAACCCCCACCCCAATGGGGCCCGCCACCCAGCAGTGGCCCCTCAAAGAGCAGGGGTCCCCGATCTGCCCACCCTCATTCCCCGCCTCGCAGTGACTTTAGGCCAGCCTTGGGGGCGCAGCGGGGCGCTGTGGGCTCCCCCGGCACCCAGCCTCAGCGAGCCCCCCTCCCCCGCAGCCCTGTTCTGTGACTACTACAACCCCGAGGGCCTGTGCGAGTGGCACTACCAGCCCTGCGGGGCCCCCTGCATGCGCACCTGCCGAAACCCCCGAGGAGAGTGCCTGCACGCTGTCCGCGGCCTGGAAGGTGGGCGCCTGGCAGGCTGAGGGGCGCGGGACAGGTGGGGCCGGGGCCTGTGGCCTCCCCTGGGGCCTCCGGCTGGCGGGCCTCTCCTGGACTCACAAGGAGCCTCGGGCCTCGGCCTGGCTGCCTTCTTGGGGTGTGGCGGCCACACGGTCCGGCTGGCCCAGGCTCAGGCTGTACTGGCCCGCAGGGTGCTACCCCAAGTGCCCAGCAGAGGCGCCCATCTTTGACGAGGACAAGATGGAATGTGTGGCCCGGTGCCCGTCCCCGCCCCCGCCCCCACCCTGCCGCGTCCACGGGAAGTCGTACCGGCCAGGCGCGTCAGTGCCCTCGGACCAGAACTGCCGCTCCTGGTGTGTTGCCCGGCCGGAGGGG